CATTCTGCTCTAGCGTTGGTGGGGACATCTGTGATGACCAAGAACATTACTTTAACATTATAAAAATGATTTCAGTGACCTTGAAGAGTGAAAGCTAGGCCATGCGTGCCGCCTTCTTATGTGTGATATCTTCAGTGGATTCTTAAGTATATGCTGAATTACTTCCTAGCAGCAGCAGGATGATTGAAATTGTATTTCCATTTACAACTAGAAAGTTAGACTGTTTTGACAACCTCGTGTTGTCCAAGCACGTATTTTACATAATACACTTCGTACAGTTTGGGGGGGTGGAAAAACCTCTTTGTATATTTCTTTCATGACATAGCCTCCAGAGCTTCTCTTGTCTGTCCAATTATGTTGAGCTCCTGTGAGACCAGCTTCAGCCAACTGATCAGAAGGTGATCCGTGTTCAATGTATCGATCAGGAAGAACCATTGGCCTCCACTGCACAGTTATGAAGGGATCGCAGCAAATATTGAAGAAAATCGCAAGGAAATTGCAGTATGTTGAGTCATATATTATTGACATGTCTTTGTCTTGGATTAATTCTTACCTTCAGTTTGCCGTCCAGAAGGCCATTGAGGGCCATAAACTGAGCAACATGAAACCCAAATTGATCTTGCTTCCACTGTGATCAAAACCTCGTGTGATTTTGCGAGGCTGCGAATAAGGGCATGATCCAATGGCTTGCGGAAACGAGCATCTGCAACTCCTACTTGCAAGGCATGACGTGCCACTAAAGAAGCTGCAGCTAAACAGTTCAGAACAGGTGTTCCAAAGCCCAAGAGGGCCACTCTTTCCCCTTCAATCAATATCCTACCTCTTCCAACCAGTTACAATACCAGCACTCTCACATTAAGTTAATTCACACGGAAAAATAGTCAATTAAAGTTCCTAAGGAACTTACTTTCAAGTTTTAAAATGTGAACATACCACGCAGAAGAACTCTTTGAAAGAACCAATATGTGACACCGAGCTTTAGTAAAATAAAATAAAATGCCATGTTTATGTAAGATTGTTTTTGATGATGTCCATTAGGGTATGTGTGGAGAATTGTACATCTTTTTACCTACAGAGGGATGCCTTTATTCCCTGCTGGTAGCTGAACACCAATACCATTTCCCCTTGGGTAACGGAAGCAGCATGGTCGATCATCAATGGTGGCGGCAGTTGCAACCATATGGAGCTCTGCTTCATCAGAAGGAGCCATCACCACCATGTTAGGGAGGCATGCCATGAAAGTGACATCAAAAGAACCAGAGTGTTGGACTATCTGCTCCAACTAGTCCAGCCCTGTCCATTGCAAATCTTACAGGCAGCTTCTGCAAATCCACATCATGCACCACCTGTGCAACAAGTTAAATCATCCACCCTGTCATGACTAAGTGATGAGGTGAGGTAGAGGGCAAAAAAATATTGAAGTGTTTAAACCACCTGCTCATAAGCCCTCTGCAGGAATGATGAGTAAATTGCGCAGAAAGGCTTTAAACCTTCAACGGCCAGGCCTGCAGCAAAAGTAACAGCATCCTGCTCTGCTGTCCCCGCATCAAAGCATCTTGTTGGAATCGGCATTCAAAGAGATTCAATGCGGTTCCACCATCCATTGCAGCATGGATGGCAGCAATGTCTTTGTCAGATTCTGCTCAACAATCAAAGCCTCTGCAAAGTATGTTGTGTAAGACTGTGTAGCAGCCTTGGTTTTGAATTGCTTTCCAGTCGCACCATCGAACCTGACAACTCCTACAAAATCAAACTAAGTCACGCCTGTATTCAAGGTCGCAAGTTTAAGTCTATATAATGAAGTATTTGGTGCTGCCTACCTAATGAAGGCAAAATGACCAAAATATAATAAATCATGAAGACAAAAAGTTTAAAAAGAAAAAATCAATGCCACCTTTACCATGATAGTTGTCTGCTCTTTTTTCTGCATATGGGTATCCACGGCCTTTCACAGTTACAACGTGGATCAGTACAGGACCAGTTGTTTTAGCACTTTTAACTTATTTGAGAATGGCGACAAGATCATCCATGTTATGATCATCAACTGGTCCAATATAGTAGAGTCCAAGCTCTTCAAACAGTGGTGATCCAGAACCGCTGATCATGCCACGAGCATATTTATCAACTCTAGCAGCTAACTCATGCATAGAGGCCCCTAGACCAGAAAAACCCTTGCCGGAGGCAGTTTGAACAAGACTTTGCACGAGTGTTTCTTCATAATTATAGGCATGTGGTCTATTCCTCACCTTGGCAACTTCTCTCAATTCTCTAAGGAGCTTGTTTGATTGCAACCTACTGAGAGCACTGCTCAAAGCTCCAACAGGTGGTGTGGGCCAATCGAAAGTACCAGTTGGAAGAGAGACCTGTTTGTTCTCATTTAGAATAACAATCACTTCAGAATCCAGATGTCCTGCATTGTTCATGGCTTCATAAGCTTGTCCAGCTGATGGCTTCATCACCAATAATAGCAACCACATGATTCCTCCTTCCCATCAGATCCCTCCGGACAGCCATTCCTGTTTGTTTGATAAGATATTAGAAGTTAGAAGACATTAGTAATAACGCTTGACGTCCAAGATAAAGTGAAATACTTATTTTAAACTGTGGGCAAAAGAGACGGGAGAATTATGATCACATGCATGCATGTACTCATTTATATGGTATTAACACACTCGAGTCATCCAACTATCCAAGCCCACTCATTTATATGCATGTACTCCACAAACCTTCCCTTCCACTACCTTAAAATGAAATTTGGCAAATTTGGTCCAAATTAAATTTTTATATTTACTAAAATTAAAATTGAAATTTTTATTAAATATACTATACCACTAACTTGGACTGCCTAAATTTAATCTAAATGACCCAATTTAATATTAAATTTTTTTATAATTTTTATATATTGACTATCCAGATGTATTTTAGACTCAGATTTTCTTCCAAATAAAAATTTATAAAATTTATTAAGTAAATATGTATTATTCAAAATATATCTGGATAATCAACTTATAAAAATTATTAAAAATTTAAAAATTAAATTCAACTATCTAAAATAAATATGAACAATTTAGATTAGTGATAAAGTATGTTTTTAAAAAATTTTAATTTTAATAAATATAAAATAAAAATTTAATCTGAACTAAATTTTATTTTAAGGCAATGGAGGAAAAGCGGAAGGAGAGGTTGCTGGAAAGAAACGATGTATCTATGCATGTAGGCATTCACGCATTCCACCCTTTCCATCTTAACCGACCACTTGTCCAAAACTGAAACGTCCGCTTGGTTCTAGTTCTGAAAATAATTAAAAACTTCTATATCTTCCAAAAAAAAATATAACTTTTAATCTTTATGTTTTGCTTGCATTTTATTATTAATTCTGCATTTTTTTTAGTGTTTTAAATTTTTATATTTTTATTTTATGATATTTTAAATGTTTTTAAACTCCTTACACTTTATCTATGAAAGAACTTAAAATATTTAAAAATAAAAGTATAAAATCTTAAAACATTTGAAAAAATACAATGATCGATAACAAAATGTAAGAAAAGTGTAAAAATTAAAAATTATATTTTTTCATATTTTTAATAATATTAAAGATATTGTGAGCAAATCATCGAATAATTTGACGCGGATGACATTGTTCGGTTAAATTAAACTATATTAAAAATCAAATTTCAAACATCATACAAGCCAAGCCAACCCAACCCTCACTCCTAATCTAATTTTTATTCGATTTCTCTCAATTCCTGTCAATTCAGTTTGATTCAATTCAACCCTATTTTTCTAATTTTGTGCGCTCTTACATGATTACCCGAAGAAGGAATTTCATTTTTTTAAAAATAAGGTACACACACAAACACGCGTATACACGTAAAAATAATTAACATAAGCATCTTTTTTGGGTGTATAAACTAAGCCATTTTTTTATACTCAACAAATAAAAAATACGCTAAAACAATTTTCACACAAGATTTAGTATTTTATACATGATAAATGTGTAAATTTAACCATAAATTATTTTTCAAGGAGCATCTGATAGTGTAAAATAAATCACAAACTTTTAAAAATAAAGTATCAAGTAGTCTGTCATTAACTTCAACTAACGGACATTATGTAAAACCCATAATAACATATGGCATAACATATCAGCATGACAAACGTGCAAATTTAACCATGAATTATTTTTTAAAAAACGCTAGATAACCTCTACTATAAAAAAAAAAGATCTAACAACTTCCCCTCAATTTTGATCAAATACTATTTATTTTTATAATTATGAAGCCCATAAAGCATTAACATCTCCAATTTTTTTACCTTTGTTCTCAGTGTTAGCTTAAAAACCAAAGATTTAAAGAGTTTTTGTCTAAAAACATTCACAAAGACAACACTAACAAAGTACAAGAAATAATTCATGACTAAATTAAGCTAGACTCAAGCTTCTATCATGCATAATAAAATCAAGCTTCTACTTAACATCATCCTTACAGATGTCTTTCAAATAAAAACTCATTGAACTTTTCTTCTAAACTTTAATTGAGAACACAGGCAAGAAGATCAAAAAAATTAATGCTATAAGTCTCATAAGTATAAAAATAAATGATATTTATCAAAATAAAAACAAAAGTATTGATTGGTCTCTTTTTTTTAACAATAGTGGCTTTCCAACACTCCTTAAAAAATAATTCATAACTAAACTTATATTTTTACCGTGCTGATATATTGTGCCTGTGTCATTTTCATGTATCATTGTGAGTCTCACATAATATCCATTATCTGAAGTTAATTGTAGGCTACTGGTGCTTCATTTTTGCAAGTTCATAATTTATTTTACGTCATCTAATAGTTTAAACTACCAAATGCTCTTTGAAAAATAATTTATAGTTAAATTTACTACTTAACCCTTTCATATATAAAGATTTCTGGATCTTGCTTAGCTGGCCGAAAAAATTACAAGATGTTAACTTCCCATGATGCTATAAAAAAATTGATTGCAAACGATCGAGGGAAAATTCGCCAACGGCTAGATAACTCACTGATAGTCTTCCATGTAGATTGGTAATGAAATCGTGAACAAGGATGTAAGCAACTGTTCAAATAGTAAAGCAGCCTCCTCCAACACAAAACCCAAAATAGTCATCAACTACAGACTAAGATGTAAGATATATTAACATCGCTGCCTCTCAAAATACTACTTGTACGGCCCTTCAAGGAAAGACTAGACACAGCGCCACCCTGAAATGATATGCCTACGGGCCAATCAACGAGGACTGCACAAGCACGAAGAGTAACTAATCAGTCATTGCCCAATCATCCCAATATGGCCGCCGTAAATTTGAAAATAACTACGCATTCAACGTTAGTATTTAGCCTCAAAGTGGGAGCAGAAATGAATTTCCTCAACCAGAACTGCTATACTTCCAGGATTTAACTAGCTAAACATTATCATTACGGATCATACTCTGAACGGGCAGAAATTTGACGCAAGGACTGACAATATATGTATACTTCAGCTGGTACACCTGCAAAAGCCTTACCTGTACGACCGTGAACGAGACCCTGAGGGACTGCCACCATTACCCCTGGGACTCTCTGATCTACTCCGCGAATGATCCCTCCTGTCATCAGGACTCCGACCATTCTCCCTCGGAGTTGGGGACCTCCTGTAACCCTTCCTTGCACGAGGTGAAGGAGACCTGGAATAAGATCTTGATCGCTCAGGAGAATAATAATCATCCCTGTCCCTATGATCCCTGTATCAACAGCAGAAAAACAAAGTTGACGAGATATTGGTGAATAAACAATTACAAATGAAAAACATATAAGAAAGAATAACAAACCAGAAGCATCTCATAAATCAGTAAGAGATCTGAATATATGCAGCAGCAGCAAACCAAAAATAAGTCACTCATGCAGTCACTCAATCCAAACTCTGAGCATTTTTCACATATAAATGAACTAATACTTACTTCCTCTTTAAAATTTAACTAAAAATATGACCTTTACCTGCACCTTTCCATATTTCTTGGACAAATACAGATACTTGGATCGAAACAGAGTTATGAATGATGCACTGGAAGATCAGCATCCGTAACTTCATAGGCTCTCTTTGCCCCAACTTTATAAAATCACAATTATCTTTCTTGCACAGTGTCATCATTTCTCTACCAGTAAAAACTTTGGCTTCCTTTCTTTGAGGATGATTTTCTTTGGCCAAGTATAAGCTTTATATTCTTTATAAACTGGATGGTATATGCAAAACAAGGTATTAAACTTAATAAAGCCTACTTTAAAATAAATTTATATAAGAGGAAAAAAATTACTCTATGTAATTGAACCATTCCTCATGCCACGATTAACCTTTGCGGGAACGCTCAATAAGCATGCCTCACAAACCAAATACCACAATGTAGGGAAAATCCATGCAACTGGTAGAACAGTCAAACATATGGGAATTTCCTATGGGAAGTCTGATAGAAATGGAAAGTAGCACATCACTTTAAGCCTCTATACTCGTTAATCTTTATTAATCCAGAAGTCTTTAAAGTCTTCCAGTTCACTTTAATATCTGCATAAAGAAGACAATAAGCAGATATCATTTAATTCATTGGAACACATTACAGGGAAGTCATCAAGATCAAAGGATGGGATACCACCCCAACTTCTTATGCAACCCAGCCCGCTAAAAAATCCTCCACTACCATGATCAATTCATCAAAACATTAGTATCATAATAGTATACCATGGCTGGTAGTCAACTCAAACAAGAGATAAATTTTGCCCAAGGACAACGTACAACTCGTAACGTTCCTGATAGAAAACTACAGAATTTCATCAAGTTGTATTTTGGGTAATTCAGATTAAAAACCAGAGTTTCATCAAGTTGAACAAGTTAACCGGTTCAAGCTTGGAAGGTAACAAAACACCAACATTTACGTGCAAACCACATTCATACGCAGAGGACTGATTTGTAGCATTTGCCAAAGTGTTAATTGAATTAATTGGCTAAACATTAGAAAATTCTTGCAGTATTTATAACACGTTATCAACTTTTACCTCTGCAGATAAGGAAAAATAAAAAATAAAAAAATAAAATTAAAAAAATAGATGGCTCCAACTCAAGAAGATTTTTTATCCTATGCTATTAGATCCAATACAAGTCTGAAATTATCATACTCCTTCAGATGAAAAAAATATCAATTACGCTTTAAATAGCAGTTAATGCAATTTATATGTGCAACAACAATGCTTCAGCATATTATTTTTATAACATGTTCATGCACTATAATATCAAAATGCTAAACAAAATATGAGTGCACTGTGCATGAATATACCCAAAAATATATCAATAGGGAAAACATAATAAGATATACAAGGGGAAAGTAATATATTTGTAATCTATAAAACTCAAACCTTGTGTGATCCTCAGCTGGTGATAGAGACCTTGAGTAGGCTGTAACCAAAATAAGATAAAGTTGCATGAAATAATTAACTCCCATAAAAAGGTTTAAGAATGGATAAGTTTGATAGATATAAAAAAAAAAATAAAATACAGGGCAAGTGCTTTGCATAGAATCTAAAGCGAATCGGCGCCATGCGTAACTTATAATAAATACAACTTCCTATAAATTTTACAACATATATAAACACAGATATATAGATATAGATAATTCGTTCTCATAACAAGCCCCATTTTTTAAGGAAAAAGAAAGTATTAGGGTTGCAAGCAATACTTATTATATATATCTATCACAGCGAGATTAAACCTCAACAAGCTAAATGTGTTGCATTAAGAAACTAATTTAAACCCAAAGTTAAGTGGTTTAAACTAACATCGATATCGGCGCCTTGGGGACCTTGTGGGAGTTCTCCTCCTACCATTTCCTCCATAACGACCACTATAAGTTGAAAAAGAAACAATGAGTCAATAAGAATTGGAGATCCAGTAAAAAATATAAATAAATTCCAAGAATGTAAAACAGTTCAGAGAACAGACTTTCATCACACCTTACACGAGCATTTGTACGCATTTCTTGAGGAGTTTTCCTATTTTCCTCAGCATACACAATTCTTATTTCACGTCCACCAATAACAGTATGATTAAGTTGTTGCTTTGCTTCAGCAGCATCCTCAGCATACCGGAATTTCACAAAGCCAAAGCCCCGGGGCTCACTACAGTTCAAATTAAACAAAATTTTTCAGTGTTTTGAGAGCATACAAATGCAATCAGGGAAAGCAATGTATGAACACACATAAACAACAAGCTTTTGCTACTGTTTATCTTAGAGATATAAGTAATTCACATTTCTCACAAACAGGCATAACCTGCAGTAAATATTTCACTAACAGTATGCACTTCTAAATTTTGTAGTGATATAAAACTGAAGATGAACTACAGCATTGGCAATTGGCAATAATACATGAACTGTGTAATAACACTTAAAGTGTTCAATATCAAAATAATAACAACAACAACAACAATAATAATCAATAAAGGAACAGCAAATAGCCTCACAACAACAGAATTCGTGCAGAGCAAAACGAAAAATATATAAATATTGGAAGATTTTGTTATAAGGGGAAGACAGATTAATGATCAAGATTTCCAATAATAATTTTAAAAAACAAGGCAAGAAAACATCCTATTTCTCAGAAGAATCTCACAGCCACAGCACTTTTTATGAGGCGATCTTAACCCACCTGTGTGCCCTATAGCTACCCCATTGGTTTACAAATTTAGCATGCCTTACAGTGGAAATATAAGAATATAGTAAAGCTTTTAACAGAATTAAACTTTCATTTTGTGTCGACCATAAATGGAGGTCAGACATACCCAGTGTAGTAATTCTTAGGAAGATATACGTCTTTCACAGGGCCATAGCGCTCAAAGGGGCCCCTAAGATCTTCAGGCCTGCATAACAGACAATTAAAAAGTTATCATTCCAGAATCTTGTTCAGATAAATGAAATGGGATAAAGTAAAATGAAATGAAATGAAAACAGAAGGAAACCATCTAATGGTCCAAAACCTTGGCGGAATTCTTGGATGCTTATAGTAACGGAAGAAATGAGAGCGAATGACTTGCCAGATTCTTCCCACGGATGGTGTAAAGAACGTGGCATTGACCACGAAAGGACTGGGCATTTTTAGGGTTTAGTGGCTTCTTTACTCCCTATGAGCCTAGAATACAATTCATCCATATCTTTCTAAATCCACCAAGCTATCCAAATCTTGTAGATATCAGAGTCTTCTCAGTTCTAGCACATTCCTAAAGCCTTAGCAACGACCCAGATGATCTTTAAGGGTAGCCTAAATTCATCAACCGTCGGCGCGTTCTACTTTTCTAGTCAGATAATTAGAACGAAATACCCCACGCGGGCACACACATAATATAAAGAAAGGAATAGATTGGAAGTCAGAACGCTCTTAATCGGTAAATGCCCTCTAAACGCTAGTATTGTCTATTACATGGGCATTCCAAACTTTTATAGAGGCTCAAAACAAAGGCTCCCCACAAAATGTGCCTATTAACAGAAACGGGATCGTTTGCAAGGAACAAGATGACAATATTATCAGCAGGAAAACAGAATAAAATCCACTGAGCGAGCGGAAATGAGGGGGATAGGAAGGAGAACTGACCTAGCATCTAGCGGAAGATTACGGACAAGCAAGCCTGAAGGAGCAGGAGAGCGGCGGTCCCTGTAGGACCTGCTGTCACGGTAGCGATCACGAGGTTCATCGTCGTACCGCTTGCGTCCACGCGGTGGGGTTCTGCTTCTCCGGCGTGGGCTGTAGCTTCTGCTCCGGCTTCGGTATCTCGCCATTGGTGCAAAACTTGGAGTGAACAAAGAAAGATAGAGGAAACCCTACGAGCCCCCCGAGGCAGAATCGTATGCACTATGCAAGCTTGGGCAAAGGAAAAATACGGAAATCCTACACTTACTCAAATTTATATTAACAAGTTGTCTGTAGTTATTTATTGTATAATATTATTTTTAATTTAATAATTCTCCCTCTGTTTGTTTGTTTGTTTTTTTTTTTTTAACACACATATGCAAGAGAATACATTCCGATACCTCGGCAGCGATCTTGCGGTCGCCCTGTGGCCTCCCGAACTTCCTGACCCTCTTCTTTACGATCTTCTTTGCAAGTAGCGGCGCGGCCATTTTCGCTTAGCTGGTTTGCAAGCTAGGGTTGGCTTCACCCCCGGCCCCGAGCTCCAATAATTCTCGTTTTAATGCAGGGCATTGATTATAATTTTCATTTTGAAGGTAATGAGCAAACAGGATTTAAATTATTGCTCGAAAGTTACCCTACACTCTAAATTTTTAAAAAATATAAAATAAATTTTAAATTTTTAAATTTATAAAAAATAAATTTTAACCATTAACTTTTTAACATTATAATTGTTCATACAAGTATTATTTAAAATTTATTTTTTTATTAATTTAACTTTAATTGTTACAATACTTGCATAAACAATTACAGCGTTAAAAAGTTAATTGTTAGGATTTATTTTATTATAAATTTAAAAGTTTAAGGTTTATTTTACATATTTTAAGAGCTTAAGATTTAAAATAATTTTCAAACAAAAATTTAAGACCTTATTTGCTTATTAATTCTTTCATTTTTAATATTTTAAATCCTTTATCTTTTATTTTTATTGGGCTTTTCCCTTTTAACTTTTTATAATTTTTTGAACTTTTAAAAATATAGCACATTTTTTATGAAAAAAATATGGGAAAGTTGGGTCATGAGGTTCCCTGTGTCCACGACACGCGACTTCAGCAGCATTTACTTTGAATCCACTTTTCTATTATATATAAGTTGAGTTTGTAATTCAAGTGGCATGATCCTTATTCCTTGATAGAAGGGATTCCACATCAATTCTCCATATGGTTTAGGTGACCAAAAAAAAAAAAAGTATATTGGGTGTATGGCATGTGTGCGGGACCTTCTTTTGTGTGGATGTGCCATGCCTCCGACGGGGTTTAAAAATAAAAAGGAAAAAGCTCTTGATCCTATTGGCCCATGTTAATATATGAATACAATCCAAATCAAATATGTACATGACGATCCTTGCCTCGTTTGGCGATTGGATCTGGCAAGTTACATGTATGGGTCCAACTAGAGAATTGATCCAAGAGATGGCGTTTTGCTTTTGCATCATGCAGTTTATATCAACCACAACAACAAAATATGGCGAATGTAGTTGGGCCTTTCTAGGCCGAAAATGAATATGGCTGGGCCATTCGATTCAAATAAATTTAAATTTGTGGAGCGTCAAAGCAAAACTCATCGTCAATTACCTTAATCTACTTCCAAAACTTGATTGCAAAGTCTGTAGGATCATACCAGACATTGGCTGCTTTATTGACACCGGTGGTGACCTATGGAGGTCTCACGCGTGATAATGGGGGTAATTGAATTGCGAGATTTTCTAGATACCTAAATTACTATCTCAATATTATTACTAAACCCATGGGCATCTTAAAAGGTTTTAACCTTTATTAAAATAATAATTTTTCTAAAGTTAATATCTATTCTAACTCAATTGAGGCTCTTACTTTCATTCAGCGTGACTTCATCCAAAAGCATCAACTCTCCAGTATTATTAATAAAATAAGGGACTGAGTTATGAAAGACTAGGTTGATATTTTTCATTAATGTTTTTAGAGAAATAAATAGATGTGCAAATTGATTTGTTCATCAAATGTCAAACATCAATCTAGTTAATATGATTTTTGTAAACCCACCCTTAGAGGGCAAAAGCTTTTTATACTCTACCATGAAATGGTTTTTCCCGGCACAATTTCCATACCCTTGTACCAAAAAAAAACAAAGAAAGAAACTCAACAAAACAAACATTTAAGGAGTTGTGAGTTTCATATTTGCATGAGGCTTGTTAGGAGTGAGCAAAACCAAATCAAATTTTTATTATTTGATTCGGTCTATTCAATTTTTTAGTTTGATTCAATTTTTTTTATATTTTGGTTGATCAGTTCAATTTGGTTAATAAAAATAGACCGAACTAATTAAATTATATTTAATTTATAAATTATTTTATTTTATTTTTTAAGTTTATATTTAAATATAATAATAATATTATTAATATTAATATTACTTAAACTAAACCCTAAACCTCACTTTATCACTCAAACTTGGTCACTCTTAGTCTTAATCCTTGGGTCTCAACTCTCAAGTTGTCTCTGTTGTCGCTCGCTCTCTCTCACTAGTCATCTCTCTTGCATCTCAAATTGCAGTTCTCATCTCTCATCTCTGTTCTCACATCTCCAGCTCGCATCGTAGTCTGTCATCTCTGTTCTCCAACTCACCGCTTACATTCTCTCATGTCTCATCTTTGTTCTCAATCTAGCTCGTAACTCAGTCTCTTGTCTTTGTTCCAACTCGCTGCTTGCGTTCTTTCGAATGTTGAGTTATTGGTTAAATGATATTAATATTAAATGCTTTATTTATGTTTAGATCTTAAAAAAATTCCTATGGAATCAAATGTGGATGTACTGCAAGCTTTTATTCTTACTGACTTGAGGTAATTACTTTTTATGTTAGCTTTTTACTATAGGCTTAATGCTAAATTCATTAATAATTCTTGGCTTCTCATATGATTTTTACTTGTGTAATGTAGGTTGCAAGATGCCAATGACGTGGTGCTCCATTTATAAAGGCTACTAATTTTATTTTGTTTTATTAATCTAGATACTTGATTATTGTAATGATTTAATTTTAATGTTTTGAAGACTTGTTAGTTTCTATGAATTATGACACTGTGATTGTTTTAACTTTAAAGACTGTGACTAGATTATGGCACTGTGATTATTTAATTTTAATATTTTGAGAACTTATTTTGGCATCATGGCTGACGTTGTGACTAGATTATGGCACCATTATTTGATCATCCATACTGTTATTATCTTTGGGCTTTATGTCACATGGGTATAATTAAAATGGGCTCCTACTAAAAAAAATAAATAGAAAAAAAAGCTCAATTTTGCTGTCGTGATTGCTTTTATATCATATGGGTGTAATTAAAATGGGCTCAATTTCAAGTAGCCTAATATGAAACCAAAAAAACTTAATTAACCGACTGAACTGAATTGTGAAAGTTTAGTTTAGTCCTTGTTTGATTTGTTTGGTTCAATTCTGTTTACCTTTTTGGTGTTGTTCAGTCGATCGATTTTGTATATTTTGGCACCAAACTGATCGATGCTCACTCCCAAAGCTTGCGGTTCAAATGAATCGTTTTAGGGATTGAATTCAAAAGATCGAGAGTATCAAAAGAACTAAGAAAAATAAAAGTTGCAGCTTTATGCTCATGGAGTTCGAAGATATGTTCGACTTTCAGTTGCAAGTTTAATTTCAACATGTATCTTAACACAAAGCCAAGTTGTTAATGGCTTGGCTAAATAATAAGGTCTTCAACAACATGGCTTGAATCCTTTGTTATATGACACCTTCGTTTTATAAAGATTTAGTTGAGACTAAATAATAAAATAAAGTGAGATGATAATCAATAGAATAGAATAGACTAAAACAATGTAGAATAGAATATAATATTCTATCGTTTGAGAATTTTTATGGGATGAAGGGGTAATTTTATTTAATCTATTAAAGATTATTATAAAATTAATGAATTTTTAATTAATTATAATTATATTTTTCAGTTTTAAAGTGAAGACAAGTGAAAGAATAAGAGAGCGTGAGAATGGTCAGATAATTTTGCAATGATATTATTTATATTGAGTAATTTCACCAATCACTCTTAAATTGAAATTACGAAAAGATAGGTTTATGGTTGCTCTGAAAATTATTCCAAACTGTCTCACTCCTTTTTAAAATTTTATTTCCAAACCTTGATTATCTTGCTGGGTCCAGATGATCTCTTAATCCTCTTTCTCTTTTTCTTTTCCTCAGCTCATCTCCACCATTAAATTATGAAGTGAATGGTTTAGATTTAATTATTTTTCCCAGCAAATTCAATTTTTTATGAAATAATTATCACATAAAAATAAGTAAATTTAAAGATATGCACAGTTTTTGTATATTGTTATTAAATTAAAATTTTTTATTTATGTATTTTATTGCAATTATATATTGTGCACGTTAAATTTTAATAGTTTAATATTATTTATTTTGATTCAATTAGTTTAGAAAGTTGAATAAATTTATTCTATGATATTGAATTCAAGTTTTGAAATATATAATTATATTAAATAAATATAGTAAAAATATTTTTTAAATATCCATAAAATTGTTATTTAACAACTTTACAGTTGAATTAATATGAATATTCCTTATTATTCCAAGGATGGAGATAGAATGAGAGAAAAAGGAGGTGATGATGAAGGATGCGAAGGGGAGCGCCGTGGAGGGATTTACTTCCCATCTTGCTCTGTTCCATTTGATAAAAGGAAGCTTCCGAACAATACCTAATAGTCTTGCTATTGGAAGAGAACTGAGAGATGTCGATCCCCTATAGTGAAGTTTAATTTTGTAAGGATGGACTGAAGCCTTCTTTTTTCTACAATGGAGAAAAACATCTGTTGTGAAGTATAAAATCATTCATTACTAACTAGAGTCTCCCACTACGATCCAACACTTAGATCAACTGGTATTGAGACTGTCCTAATTTAATCAAGTTTTGAGTTTGAGTTTGGGAATGTAGTAGCATGGTAAATCTTTTTAGGAGGGTGTGATAGAGTCTATCCCCAAAAATGAGCCTTCTTGGCTCAATTCGAATTAGTCTGGCCCATGAGTTAGTGAGTTGCGATACTGAATGCTATACCAAAAAAAAAGAAGCTAGAATCTCTCACGTAATCATAGATGGATATAATCTCGTTACCAGCCAACTGGCCAACTCACTTTTTGTAACACTGGAGCTCTAACCTTGACCTCAAAGATGGAAGATCTTACGAAACCAGCTTCAGATTTTAGGAGGGGATGTTAGATCGGATATCTCAATTCATATGTATAATAAAATATGATAGAATAAAGTAATTCATGCGTACCTAAAGAATCCATAAGTGCTAGAGAAATCTTGATTACCTCGAGTATAGGTAGGTACACAATCCACAGGTTCCCAGAGCCTTCAGAGAGTTCAGAGATAATGAAAGTAGAAGAAAAGAGTCGTGTGTTTGCAGTTATCGACTAATCAACTTATATAGATCAAATCGATAACCGCCT